AAGGTATTATGATGATCGCAAGTCAAACGATCAATTTCACTACCGAATGTTTGAGATTAACCATTAATACTCAAATAGTTATCTATGTGAAATCTCTCCAACGGGTCTCGAATGTTTCGTTCTTCCAATGAAGCATTCACATGTCCATTTAAATATCACTACATGTAAGCTTTTAGGATCAGCTGCTCACTTCAGTCAGAAATGCAACAAGGGCTGGTCTAGCCATAATAACGATATCTGGCATTCGCTATTAATTACTACCACATAAGATTTAATATTCAATCATATGTAATTTATATCTCATGATCATATGTAATTTATATCTCATAATTACAACTTCTTGTAATAGACAAAATTGTAATACTTGAATTTACGAACTCTATTATTTAGGGTGTGTTCGAGTCACATTATTTTGGAAGAATGTATTTTGGAATAGTAAATTGATGGAGAATGTGTTATTGAAAAATAAGGAAAAGTTATTGATGTGATGAAAAATATTATTTTTTTGAAAAATATGTGGTTGAAAATGAGTAGAAGAATGAAAATAAAATTTTTAACGTGTACCAAACAGATGCTTAATTTATCGAAATAATATTTCAATTAAATAGTATATCTGCTATAAATAATAATGCTGATATATGTATTAAAAGTATTTATATCAAAAATTGATTAGATTTAGAGCATAACATTTATATTGTAGAGGTTCGTCTTAATATGATACTCGTCATCTTCTTCCGCTATAATAATTCACTATCACAAAAAGACATCAAACACATATCTATAAGAGAAAATCAAACACATATCTTCTCCAACCTCTCTTTTTTTACTGATGCCATGATAATTTCAAGACATCACGGTCCCTAGTAATTCTCATACCAAAAATATGTTTTATGACACTCAAATCTTTCGTTGCAAGCTTCTTGGATAACTTATTTTCTATCTTATCTATTTCTTGTTTACAAACACTTACAACCAACTTGTCATCATCATATAAAAGCAAGATAATATAGGAGTTACCAAGGTTCTTTACATAACAACAATGATCCCCTAATACCTTCTAAAGCCATTATTACCAATAAATTTTTTAAACTTCTTATATTAATGTCTTGAAACTTGTTTAAGACCATACAAACTCTTTTGAAATCTACACACCATTTTCTCCATTTTCTGTACTTGGAGTATGTGAAAAATGAGCTAAGCAAGTTTAAGATGGATAATGCAAAACCAGTTGGTAATCTTTTGGTTGGTCACTTTAGGCTATCCAATGAGGAGTCATCCTTTATAGAGTAGGAGCGGGCATACATGGTCGAGATACCTTATGCCTCTGCTATTGACAATCTTATATATACCATGGTATGTACGAAATGAGACATAGTACATATGGTGGGAGTTATGAGTAGATATATGAACAATCATGGAAAACAATATTGGAAGGCAATCAAGTGAATTCTCAAGTACTTGAGGGGTATTTCAGATTCAACTTTAAATTTCAAATAATCGGGTTTGGGATTAGGATTGTGTAGACCTTGATATGGTAAGGGATATTGATGGCAGGAAAAGTGTTACTGATGTGTATGGACTTTGAGTGATACATCAGTTAGGTATCTAAATTACAGAAAATAGTTGATCTTTCCACTACATAGTGTGAGTACGTTGCTATAACCAAAGTTAGCAAAGATATAATATGGTTGTAGTGTTTCTTGGAAGAATTGGGTGGCAAGCATAGGAATAGTGTACTGTATTGTGAAGTGACATTCATTTAACAAAGAAATATGTTTATCATGTAAGGACACATTAAATAAAGGTTTGATATCACTTTATCAGATCGACTTTGGATTCAATGGAGTCAAAATCTAGCGACATGTTGACGAGGACTATTCAGAGCTCTTCTGAAGACATTATTACCAATAAAATTAACAAATTTCTTATACCACTGTCTTAGAGTTTGTTTAAGATCATACAAACTCTTTTGAAATCTACACACCATTTTCTTTATTTTCTGTATTTAGAAATCTTATGACTGCATCATGTAAATTTCTTCCTCCAAATTACCATGAAAAAATGTTGTCTTTACATCTAACTGCTCTAGGTACAAGTCTTCCCTTACGACTAATCTAAGTACTGCTCTAATTGTGATTAATTTCACCACATGAGAAAAAATCTCAGTGTAATTGATGTCTTTTTTCCGTTGAAATCCCTTTATAACTACTAAACCCATTTATTTGGTTAATTTCACCACATGAGAAAAAATCTCAGTGTAATTGATGTCTTTTTTCCGTTGAAATCCCTTTATAACTGCTAAACCCATTTATTTGGTAAGACATTCTTTTCTTTTGATAACTTTATCAATTGCCATGTCTAATTGGACAATAGTGAATCCATCTTATACATCATAGCTAACTCCGACTTGATTGATATATCAACATGTACAGTTTCATTATAATTTTCTGGTTTACCTCCATTAAGTCAATAGAATATAATCCAATGCTGGATAATATCTTTGTAGAGTTCTAGTAGTTTTGCGGATCTTTTAGGTTGAGCCACATGAGTGTTATTATGTATGGTTTTATTTTCTCGATTTTCACCATCAGCATTCTCTAATTTAATAACTAAAAGACCTATCAATAGGGTCACCTCAAGCTTTTTAGCTCCAATACTTGAATCTTTTGGATTTTTCCCAAACTTGTACTTATACAAAACACTTTTATTGAAGATCACCTATTTTCTCCTAATAACCTTTCGAGTTTTGATCATCTCAAAAACAATAGTCAAACTCACTATAATCATACCAATAAGGGCAATGCCATTTGTACAGCAATAGTTGACCGAAATGGTTGACAACCACTCACAATGATGAACCCTATTGTGAATAAAATAAAATAAAATTTACCTACCCACGCCATATGTGAGAGATTGTCAACAACCCTCCCCCTGTACAACTAGCACAATCCTACCAATAAAGAAAATCATTTAGATTTAATGTCAAACTTGCTTCTCGTAGTAACATGAATGTCTACATAACTAAAATTAAATTGAATGACTTAATTGAAATTAAATTAAAATTTAACAATTTAATTGAGAAAAATTAAAATTTAACACTTTTAAGTGAAAATTTATTAAAAGTTCAGCTACTGCAANCTGCCCCGCTTAACACCCTTCGCCCAGCAGCAACGTCGGCCAATCTCTCCGCCGTACCCCCACCTCCGATGACTCTATTTGCTATCTCAAGACGAAAAGGTAAGTCCCTCTCCAACACACGTACATTCATGCTTATGTATGTATCTATGTGTATATGTGCATTTCTAGAATTATGTTAGTCTCTGGGTTATAATTTTTCGGATTATCATGTTTTTGGTTATGGGTTTTATGTTGAAGGGTGATCGGCCCTATAAGGATAATCGTATGAAATTTTGTTTAGGCGTATTTTAGATTTTGGGTTTTTCCTATTTTCCGTAATTTTGTTCAAGAGTTTGCGTAATCTGCATAGTTGTTTATTTACACGCTTGGTATACCTTGGTTTTCAGGTTATCGAAGTGAAATTTTAGTTATTAGGCACTAGCTCTGAACCCATATCAATGACTACTAAAATATCTTGAAAATAGCCAATCATGTGGCCGGCTGTGGTGCACAGTGTGTTTGATCAATGTAATGGAAATGAGCAGTTCTGATCAGGAAAATTGGTCGGAACCTATTGAATTTATAGTTTTCCTAATTTCTTCTCTAGTGGAGTGTTGAAAATAGATTCATATTTCAATGGAGTTGAATTTAGATGAGGAATCTACAAATTATTGATTAATTTAGATTTTCTTATGAGTTCTTGGTTTTGATATTGTACAACTATGGGGTTCACTTTTCTACTTTTGTATGTGAGTCTTTTAAATGTTCAGAATTTCTATTCGGATCAAGGAGGATCAGTATACTGTTTGGTCGTACATGGTGACTTCAGAAAGCACAAAAACATGTAATTTGTGTGTATACGGAAATGAGTTGATTGGTAGATCATTTGGTTGAAGTAATTGTTGTAAAAGACTATGAAGGACATGGTTAGTTGTTTAGATGAATGCTATTTTCCCTATTGCTAATTTGGGAGTTTGAATTCATTCCAGGTTTATCTCTACTTTAAAGTTCTTTTAAATTGCTACATATGAAAGTTCAGACACACATTATGTATTAAAATATGGAAGTGATGAAATTCATTTTTTATTTTTTTTCTTTTTGGGGGGTAGGGATGCTTTATCCCCTGGAAGCCTCTTTTACCATTGGTGCTGCTCATGGAACTTAATTAGTTGGGACACTGATTTAATGACGTTGAGTGGATACTGAACTGTTTTTTGAGGATACCATAATAACATGTAGCTGACAAACACCGCGTTACACAGTAATATGGATTTCACCTGCTTTGAATTTTAAACATCTGCAGTTTTATACGTTTTTGAAGAATTACCACAGTTCGGTAACTCTATGAAGCTATAAGCATTGAAGTTATCTTTTATAGGCTTGTACATTCAAATGGGGCCGTTAGTCCTGAATGACCATAACAAGGAAAGAAGTTGATGTTGTCATCTTAAATAATTGAGATAGTGTCATCAAATTGGATTTATTTGAACTTTATATTGTTTGGAAATGATTAGATTATATTTGGTAAAATGTTACAGAGAACTGGAATATAATTTCGTGGAGAGCTGGGTGATTATTCAAACTTATGCAAAAATTGGAAAAAAAAAAAAAAAATGAAAAAAAAAGAGTAAGCAATATCGCTATTAGCTACCAGCCACTTGTATGGATGGATCTCTTTACATGTCAGAAATATTGAGTCCTTGCATCTCTTTATCCATTATGATGTCGTCGAAAGATATATTGACAAATTCATAATGCAGGCTGATTTCTTCCGCTGGGTTTTAATTTGATTCCTGGATCATCTGCTCCTCAAATCCTGGGACACCTTCTTTGTTAGATATCTCTTTTCATCCATAATCTCTCAATTTTGTTTGGGAATTAATATGCAGAATCTGTCCAAGAATACTTCTTTGAGACTGACATCTCAGAAGTCTCTTCGTCATCTGGGATTATGTTCTCAAATAGCAACTGGACAGCAAACATCCCCAGTTGTCTTTCCAGAAAAACGTAGTAGAGGGAAGACTGTAACACGTGGTGAAATCACTATCAACAATGATGATTGTAACAAAGCCAGAAGGGAGGAACAAAAGATTGACATTGGGGATGAGCAGTCTAATTTACTAGGATATGAAGTGTTTTCTGGGAAACTGGCTTTGGACAAAAGGAAATCTAATAAGAATGCTGAAGTACCAGTTTCAACAGAGATTGCAAGCCAGGATGCAGTTGATGCTAAATTGACAAGCAAGGCACTAGTCTGTGGTTCTCAGCTGTTGCGCCTAGAAGATGTGATTTCGGTAAATTCCTTACGAGTACTTTTTATTTTGCCCAAAATTTTGCCTCCTTTTTCCAATTTGGTCCCAATGTCTAGTTATCTTTGGCAGGTATCATACTGTGTTGGTCTAAGACATTTTACTGTGCATGCTTATCCCTTTAGAAAAGGTTTTATCAAAAGCGGGAGAAGTCGGAAAGACTACCGCTTCTTAGCTTCTACCTCAGAATATGCACTTCAGTGGGTTAATTCATTTGCAGATCAGCAGTGCTATGTGAATTGCCTACCTCATCCTATGGCTTCTAAGAAGCAGGGTTCAGATTTGATTTTCAATGAATTTCCTCCCGAATCTTCTATAAGATGCAAGAGTCCACCAAAAATGCTTGTAATTTTAAATCCTCGGTCTGGACGTGGACGTTCAACTAAAGTTTTTCATGGCATGGCTGAACCCATATTCAAAGTAAGCTGCTACTGTAATTTACTGTTTTACTACACGAAAGGTTTCCATTAAATGGTCTTTTTGATATAAAGTGTGCTATATTATCTCATTTTAAATTTTATTAAAACGTGCAATGTGAACTATTGGTTCATGATACTGTCACATACAGTTTCACTGGCCACTTTGGTATATCAAATAGGTTAGCAGTATCACTAGTTTGTGGATGCTGGGTGAATATGCAAGAGTGCCTCCTTAGATAGTTGTGCAATCATTGCATGAGCATCTAAAAATTAATAGAATTGTTTTCTTATGATATAAGTTTTAAGCTTTAAACCTGATTACATTGCTTTCTTCCATGTCTTGATCCTCGTATAGAGACACATGGAGAGATTTTACTTTTTCAGATGTGGGTTTCCAAACACAGAGCTTTGACTTGGACATTCTTAATATGCATATTCTGAACGTTAATGTGCTAACTGAGACTTCTCCTAAGATCTGCATGATTCAGGCACCGTTCTCACTGTTAGGGGATAAATTGTGTGACTATGATATCAACGTGGATAACCTAGATGGCTTTTCATTATCCTCTCATATTTTTCTTCATTGGGCATAACCTTCTTTTAGAGTTTTAAATTGGGAGAAGATGCTTCAGTAGTGGGTGCCATGGTATTAATGTCTTTAACACTCCTTTTATCCTCGTTCCTCTTATTGGATTTTATGCTGACTCTTGACATCAAATTTATGTAGTTGGGGAGAGGAGGAATTGACTTGCTTTTGTAGTGGATGCCATGGTACTCCTTTCCCCGCAATGAATTTCAATGTAAAACTTTAACATCAAGATATGCTACTATAATGCAGGAAAATATTTACTCTTATAAACAAGAGAAAATTATAGGGGGAACCAGGTTTAGTACTGTTCGGATTTACTTGGACTAAGGGAAGAATACCAATATTGGAAGGTTTCCCGTTTGAAATTTGGAAAATGTTTGCTAATGAAACTTAATAATCAAAGTTTCTGCGCAAGGCTTTTTCTTCGTATGCACATCTGCTAATATGTGCTCAGAAATACAAAAATGGAGGGAAGAATTTCTGGTTCACTAATGTGACCTTGTGACATAAGATTTAAGAATTAGTTATTTATTGATGAAATAGAATTCTAATGTTTCATTATCGGACTAAAAAAATCATATTTATGAGCAAATTAATCTTCTCTGAATTCATTTTTCTGATATTTCATTGGTAGTCCTCCATGTAATGACATCTTTTCTCACCTGAAACAATCCCAAGAGGAGCAAAATGAATTCAAATACTTTGCTGCTACTTTTGGAGTTTGACCAAACAAAATTGTTTCATTTGGTCTCCTCATTCTATTGCGAAACTTATTTTTAGCCATATACATGGTTTGTATGGCCACTCTATATGAAATAAAGAATGCACAAGAGGCCATTGATTCCATCAGAGATATGGAAAAACAAATGAAAGGAATACATAACATATGGATGAACTAGTCTATGGTTGACAATATGCATGAACTTTAATTATTTGGTTTATGTTATGAAGCATGGCATTTGAAAATCTATGTTCACGAGGAATCCAATAAGCTGTTTGACTACCTAATTCTGTCCTGATTTGTGCAGGATTAATGTAGCCACCACCAAATAAGTGTGAGTTAAGGTTTTTTTTTTTTTTTTTTTAAATTAGTTTACTTGAGTATGTTAATTGTCTCATATTTCTGTAGAATGATGTTTGGGTTGATAGTCATAGGTGGATTGCTGAACTTCTTCAATTTTATACTTTTATTAGGATGTTTTGCAACATTTATTTGTCTCAAGTAGTTAGCCCATGTTTTTATGGTAGGAGGTAGGATTAAATTAGTGTTTCCTTGATGTGCTATTTTACAGCTTGCTGGGTTTGAGTTAGAGGTAGTCAAAACAACTTCTGCTGGTCATGCCAGAAAACTCGCAGCCAGTGTTGATTTCACTACATGTCCCAATGGTATTTTTTGTCCCTCTTCTCTTTTTATTAAGCATTTGATCTAGTTTAACTGATGCATTTGACTATCCACTTGACGTTTTATGTACTTGTAGGTATTATATGTGTTGGAGGTGATGGAATCGTAAATGAGGTTAGCAGGAATCAGATATCGTTCATCCTTGCTCATTTATATTCCATGAATGAGGGGAATACTTTGTGCAAATATATCATAGTTCTTTGGTGCTGGAATTTCTTTTGATGCCACCAAACTGATTGCAGTTTGCTTATTGGTCTTTAAACCATAGCTTGATACTCATTTTAATTGATGAATGTACATTTTGAACTTCTAGAATTCGCAACTTGTGTTGTGTTTGCTTGATAGCTCTTACTAGTGTGAGAGGATTGCCCATTTTATTTCCATGTTGTGGCGGTGGCCTTGAAGTTCAGTTTTCAGCATGTTTCCCTGGCGTGCTTGCATCTTTTGCAGTTGACACACTATCTTGGATCCTCTCTCCTCCCTTATCTGTGTTTGAACCGTTATCCAATCACTAATCATTATCTTCAACTCTTAAACTTGAATTGAATCTTCCTTCTTTAAATGTTTGTGCAACAACTTCCTAGATTTCCATAGTGGTGGTAAGAAATAAAATGACTTTCCTATCTCCGGTTCCATTCAATATAATAACCTGGGCATCACCATGGAATTGTTGTCTTCTCGAGTCTTATGAAAAATATGAGGCTTGAGTTTTTTGTTTTTTAATCAAAACACCATCAAAGCCTAAGCAGGATTTTCATGTCTCCACCTAGACCCAATATGGGGTGGTGGTGTGGATGTTATGAGTACCCTTACCATATTTTGCTAATATGAAATCGAGGTAATTAACATTTCCATGTAAATATAATTTCCCTCAACCTTTGATGAAGAATTTGGCAAATTAGAACTATTCAAGAAACTTAAGGCCATTAAATATTTTGGACGTAGTCTTATCAAGGCTGTTTTGAGGTGTTGGTGTTTTAAGAAATTTTGATCGGTGGGATTGTGAATTCTAAATGAAGACAAGGACAATGAGAAAGGCAAAGATGCCAAAAAATGGAGATGCCAAATGAAGGATGAAAGGAGGGAAGGAACACCAAAAAATCTGTTTTCATCATAATCTTAGGTAACTATAAGCAATCCCCAGTCTTTAGAAATCTATCAATTTCCTATAGAGTGACAAGTGAAAATTGTTAGCTAAGTCATTCTAATTGGAGGTCATTATGATATTAAACAATAACCTTACTTTCATTAGAATCATTACCTATCAAGCGGTAGCAAGTCTTTGGTTCTGAACGTTTCTCCATCATTGTATTTCGCAGAATTTTTAGCTTTAGTAACAAGAGCAACAATGTTTGTTCTTTTGTCCATCAAAAAGTTATTAGGTGTCATGATTTCTGTTGTCTTTCATATCCTTATAGGAGTTTGAATGGCATGTCTGTTATCTTTTTCATGCTGTACTTGAGGCCTGATACTGACATGACCATTTGGTGTTAATTTGGTGAAAATAATTTCTTCATGATTGTGGTTTGTTGATGCTGATGATGTTCATGAATTTATTGTCACTATCTCCAAGTATAGTACAACCTTTTCCTTTTGTTTTACGTATTGCAAATTGTTACATGGTTCTATTGAAATGCAGGTTTTGAATGGTTTACTCAGCAGAGACAACCAAAAAGAAGCAATTTCAATTCCAATTGGAATTATACCCGCAGGTTCTGATAATTCTTTAGTGTGGACTGTTCTTGGGCTCAGAGATCCGGTTTCTGCAGCAATTTCCATAGTTAAGGTGCTTGTTTCTTTTAGTCCCATGTCCTTTTTGTGGATCTGTAATACTGAATTTTGAGGCAAATAATGTCCTTGTTTGAGCCCCATTTTTCGAAACTCTATTTTTCTCCAAACTCATTTTCAACCACTCTCTCTAATAGAATAATTTTACACGTAAACCCAAAATTTTCCATACCTTTTAACCACAATCTCCCAAAAATCACTATTACAAAATCTATTTTTCTCCAAAGATGGGACTCAGACAACTATTTTTATTTTTTCTCCTTCCTAGAATTCATCATCTTGAAATCAAAATGTACGCTTCTTATAAAATGCCTATCGAACTCAAATATTGGTTAAAGAAAGTTATTTGCTCAAGAATTGAATTTCTATCTGTATAGAGTTTTGTTTATATTTGTTCCGTGTGCTAGGCTACCTAAAAAATGACAAGCACATTTGAAGTGGAACGTCTTACTTTTTTGATCTTTTTCAACCAAAAGCATCCTATATAAGGTGTAGACGATGTGCACCTTGTGCGTATGGCACAAATCTCACGGCTCAAGTTACCTTCTTCTTTGGAGCCGTTAAGTTTTTTTACTCGCAAGACTAATGTGTGTCATCCCATTGGGTGGGGACTTTCGTATCTCTAGCAATTTTAAGACTTGCCAAAGTGCTCGATGCTACACTTTTTCTGTTATTTTAAAGTGCAAGTAAACTTGAATAACTTTTCTCGACTCACTTCATGTTCTGTTTGTCGAAACAATTACTAGAAAGATATTTAACTACAGGTCTATTCTAGAAGAATGATGACCCCACAGTTGATGGTTGATGGTTTTTAACTCGATCCTGCTCCATAAACATGAAAGAGGAAGAAATCTGAGTAACTTGACAAATATTGAGGATTTTTAAACACCGACTTGAGTTGTATCGAGCCAATATCCCTGTGAATTATAACTGGTGCCCTGAAGGCCATTCTTTTAAATCTTCTTACAATCCCACCTATGTGTAAACTTTGTATTTATTTGCAGAAAGCTCAGTATCTGTGAACACGGATTTTTTCTATTCTCAAATTAGCAAATCCATTCACTTGATTGCCCTTTTATTGTTGTAAAGCACCGTCACGCTTGACTTTTTTCACATGTTGCTTCTGTTGTTTTCAGGGAGGTCTTACTGCCACTGATGTATTTGCGACGGAGTGGATTAACACTGGGGCTATTCACTTCGGGACGACGGTTACATACTTCGGATTTATTAGTGATGGTAATTTTAGTTGCCGCAACTTATGTCGGATTAATTTCAGTTTCAAATTATCACTAAGATAACATAGACACTGATGTCCATCAATTCTAATTCTAGAAGCTAATATTTGAAGTTTGTTTATGATTTGGCAGGACCTGATCATTCTTATTATCGAAATATTAAAATCTTTTATGCAGATATTTGTCGAACTGTATTGAAAAATTCTCTGACACTGAACTAGATGATATAGAATAAGAGTCAAATGCACTTTTAAAATATAATAGAAATTATTGTAGTATGTTTATTATTGTAGCACATCAACATGTTACCAAAGCTAGGTGTAAAATTTGTAAGATTATTAATAGAGAAGACAAAGGATCTTCAATAGCATCTCAAGATATATTTATTCAATGTTAGAAGTTACCTGTATTAGATACCTAATACTCAAACAAGATTATGAGACACTTTTGTAAATTTTAGCAGCGACCACAAATAAAAAATTTGTTAAATGTGTTTAGTGTGTGTACTAACTACCTCAAATAGATCCGAAAATGCATTTCTATCTTTTATTTTATTTTATTTTATGTTACAGATCATTTGTCCATAGAATAATAAAACAGCTGAGCTATTAATATTTCTTTATGAAAAAAGTGTTCTATTCCTTGTAAATTTTTTTTCTATTTGGAGAAAGTGGGCTTTAAGTTCTTAGGAAGAGCTTTACAAGGCAGCTCACATACAGTTCTTGTGTCTATGATTCAAAATTTAGACATTATGTATCCGGAATGTGGACGTACCTGCCAGCCGGCGTTGTAACCAGGTCCATGTACCTGCCACTCGCTGTTGTACCCTAGTACATCTAACATACTGTTTCTTTCATATAGCTATTCCTGAACATTAGCCATAATAAGTATCAAGAAAGAGTGGGAAACACTGACACTTCATTTACTTGTTAGAATGCTGGGGACATGTTGTGTTCTAGTTTTCACAGAAAATGGCATGTCTGCATGTTCTTGTCACGTTTCAATGCATGCATCTTAGCCCAATCTTTATTCTTCAGTCCATGATCCAGTATTAAACTGGTGCATTTTCTCATGTTAAAGAAACGGTTGGGGAAAATGCACGTATCTAATGGCATCTCAACATGTTCTTGTTGTATTGGCAGCGTATAATCAGCGGTTGATATTTTTGTATTTTCATTTTGTCAAATAGGCTTTGTGTTAGTATTGTAAAAAATTGTTGACAGGTGATCTGAACTAAGTGTCGCTTTTCTTGATATAGAGAACTAGGATCTTTATATTTTTTGATATCATCAAGGTGCTTAATTCTGTGTGTTTGCTTTTCGAGCTTCATTTAACTTAGGTTTGTAAGTGTTATGTCAAGTCTTCTTTTCCTTTGGCTTTTGTGTATATACAGAAATAATAATTATGTTGACCTATTGTGTCAGTTTATTGACGTTTTCTCTTCTTTGTTGCTTTCTGATTACATAATTTGGCTGACATTGGGATTTCAAAATTATATGTTTACTGTATTGGATTTATATTCTTTGCCTCCATCTCTACTTGTTGCAGTTTTGGAGCAATCTGAGAAATATCAAAAACGTTTTGGTCCTCTACGTTATTTTGTTGCCGGTTTTCTCAAATTCTTGTGCTTGCCGAAGTACAGTTACGAAGTGGAATATCTTCCTGTGGAAAGAGAAGCTGGGGAGGGTAAAATTTTGTCTGACCACGAAATTATTGACATGTCAGAGCTTTACACTGACATTATGAGAAGATCCAGCAAGGAAGGCCTTCCTCGTGCCTCTAGCCTATCAAGTATTGATTCAATAATGACACCCAGTCGCATATCTGGAGCGGAATTAGATACTACCTGTAGCAGCATTGAACCTTCAGAATATGTTCGTGCCATAGATCAGAAATCAAAACGGCTGTCTTCTGGAAGAAGCAATTTGAGCGCTGCTGAACCAGAAGTTATCCATCCTCATTTACCACAGTCAGGTACTCCAAACTGGCCAAGGACTAGGTCCAAGTCAAGAACAGATAAAGGATGGACTGGACTGACTGTTACAAATGATTCCACTAGGTCTGCCTTGGGAAATACAACTACAAATGATAAAGAAGATATTTCATCAACAATGTCAGATCCAAGTCCCATATGGGATCCTGAGCCAAGATGGGATACTGAGCCTAACTGGGCTGTGGAAAATCCAATTGAATTGCCACTGCCACTAGAGGACCCTGAAGATGGTGACCAAAATGAAATGGTCCCAAAATCTGAAGATAATTGGGTGGTCAGAAAAGGTCAATTTCTTTGTGTCCTAGTATGCAATCACTCGTGTAAGACCGTTCAAAGTTTGAGTTCTCAGGTGGTTGCCCCAAAGGCGGAGCATGACGACAACTCCTTGGATTTGTTATTGGTTCATGGAAGTGGTCGTCTGAGGCTGTTGAGATTCTTCTTGCGACTGCAAATAGGGCGACACCTTTCACTTCCATATGTTGAATATGTTAAGGTAAAGAAGCGCTCTTGAGACCAAAAAAAAAAAGGAAAAATAATAATAAATTTATGGCCATACAAACTCTCCACCTCGACCCAAAAAAACTCAAAAATGAAACGGAGGAAACAACTGCCTTTTTGCTAAATTCACCTGTAGATGAGAAGATATTCCCATGGCAAGTGTTTGCTAAAAGACAAACCGCTTTTTATCCACATATTTATTGGGACTCACAAGTACTACCCATTTATTTACCACTTATTTCTATCTATTTATAAACACATGCCAAACATATGCTTGTTAAGGGTGATAAATTGAGATTTTAAATTTGGGACTATTGGATGGTCATATGGCTCGTATCCTAGCGGACTTGCATTTTGAGTAGCACTTACCGGTTTAAAATCCAGATTGACTTGTGAACATACTAATTTAATTAGAGCTCAAATTGGGATTGTGGTATTTATTCTGTGACTTTTCATCATCTCATTCTGAATTTTAGTTCGAGGTAAATCCCGTATGCAATGAGTTCTGTCCAATGTAACAGATTTTTATGGAAATGCAGGTAAAAGCAGTGAAGATTAAGCCTGGAAAACACACGCACAATGGCTGTGGCATTGATGGTGAACTATTTCCTGTAAATGGGCAAGTGATATGTTCATTGCTTCCAGAACAGTGCAGGCTTATAGGCCGATCCCCCTGTTCTAACTAGTGATTGCAATAGCTTCTTGTTTATCTTTGTTTCGGTTTGCAGAGTACATTATTGTGGTTGCATTCTGAATGTATTGATCCTCAACGCCCTTGCTGTTTTGATAAACTTTTGAGTCCTTGTAAATTTTGTCGATGTTTTTTCCTCTTCATCATTTCCAATTTGTCTTTCCTCGTGTAACCTCGTCAGGCTGAATTTTGTATGGAATGTAATCTGTGATTGTTTGACAAGCTTAGTGTGAAGAAATATGGTTGGAACTTAGTTTCATATTCATGTCCCCAACTCAGGTTTCTTAATATATTTCGTTGTCGTGCGTTTTGAAGGCACAACTCAAGCTGTAGCCTTCTAGCTCAGTGATGCATTCGAGCTGACTGACTGCGCATGCTAGCTCTTTTCACGGTTCTTCTTCCACATCCCAACTAGCCACAGGCTGTAATACCTATCTGTACCTATGGCATAATTTTATTAAATTAAGTTTGGCCCGTTATTAAAAAAAAAGGAAAAATAGACGAGATATTTTAGCCTGGTCAATTACATGGAAGCCTATTATGTAAAATGATAGCTCACATTTTGTTTTATTTTTCATTTTGAGCTTAAGCCCAAGTGGTTAAAATTTTATTTAGTTTTAATTAAATAATAGAGATAAAACAAAATTTCAATTGAGATAATATGTTGATTTTATCTTTATCTTAATTAACGTTAAAAGATAGTTGAAATAATGTTTCAATTTTATCTCTTTTATCTAAAATAGAAATTTTAAATTAATAAGATAATATTTTCATTTTATCTTTACTTTATTTAATTTTAGAAATTATAGAGATACTTTTTTCTTATCTCGTTAACCGAAATATGGTTTAGATTTTATTACTTTTAAAATTCAAAGTTCAATTGAATTAAAACTCTCAAAGCATGGTGGTCCATATAAATAGGTATTATATGTTTCATTTTCAAGTACATTGATTTCTCTATGAAATACACACATATACAAATATACCATATTCATTAGTACATGGGTCAAAGGTTGAAATCCCAAATATATTCCAATATTTTTCATGAAATATATGCAAGTGTGTAAGTATTTTTATGAGATTATATGCTTACGTTAGATTTTTATAACATTGATTATGAGGTCCATTATGTATGTTCTAAGTTTAGATTGGAGTATAGTAATGCGACACATTAAAACTCCATACCACCTATGTTGGGTATAGTTTTTCATGTTTCACTATGTATGTATGAAGTTCCTTACATTTTGTACAAATACTAATCCATATACTTATATGCTTATTAAGATTTTACCTCATCCCTCCTTGTACACCTTTCAGGGAATTAAAGTTTCGTGACAATCAAGGGATGAGAAGGCTAACGAAGTGACAAGTGAAATGAGACCCATCAGACTTGTGTTCATTTATTTAACAACTTGATTATTGATTTAGATATTAAGTCTACTAAAAACTTCTAGTAATTTATTCTATTTCAATGTCAAATTGCTCACTCTTATTATTTCATGAAACTATTTAATAAAATTTAGGTTTTTTTTAATAATGCTATGTGTACACACGACCTTACACCCCTTTCATATAGAGGGGGACCCACAAATATTTTGTTGTGTATGGGTCCCCCTCCATGTGAGGGGAGTGTAAGACCGTATGTACACTATTGTGTACACAGAGTATGATCCTTTTTTTTTAAAAGTGAAATATGGTATTCAAGATATGATCTTATTGACGCTCGAATCCTAGAACTCAGGTTGTCACACATGCCCACAACTTGGCTGGTACAACTTTTGTTCGTACTCCATTGAAATTCATTCATTCAGGGTGCAATTAGAATCGTTATGGAGATTCACTCTACCCGCTTCCTTTGGGAAGGCCGTTTTCCAAGGTTCATCCTATAGCTACTTAGGATTTCTAACGTGAGGTGCAACATGGAGGAGCCCATTTTATCAACGACCTAACGAGTACTGAGCCGAAAGGTTTCCGTTCGTTAGAAGCGTATTACACAATATTAAGAAGTACAAGTAAATTATGGTGGATGATACTGGGTGAATTAGTATTATGGTGGGTTTTTGTGTGTTTGAAGATGTTCGCCTAATATCTGAAGTATATAAAGTAATTAAGTTAAACTGGAAACACACAAAAAAAAAAAAAATAAATAAATAAGAATAAAATTGCACTTCTAGGAAGTGACGAAAAATTGAGGGTGGTGCTAGGAGTACAAGACTAAACTTACAGACACATTACAGGAATTTAAAATCTGGTGATGTGGCAGTTGAAAAAAAGGGACTTGGCAGTTGAAAAAAAAAAAGGAAAATGAAGTAAAGGAAAAAGAGATTAAAAAGAGGGGAGGCAAAATCTTCCTACTCCTTCTCGCCTCAACTCTCTCGTGGAAATTCAATTACCCGCGACGGGACGGCGACGGTGATATATCCGGTTGGCTGGAGAGAGAGATAAATGAGCTCAAGTTGAATGTTTACCAAGAAAAGAAAAAGACCGAAGAATGGGAATTGCTGCAGTTGAAAGAATTTCAGCCACATCGGATTCAACGCAGATTACTTACATTCCCGGCGGCCAAACCGTGTAGAGTCCAAAGACACTGAAATTCTTAGCAGATCATCTGATTACAGTATCGAAAGTATGAGGTTAGGAGGGAAAGAAGAGACTCCACAGAAATTCAAAGCATTACTTCTCTAGGGATCAATGG